TCTCTACATTTCACTTTTGACTGTATAACCCATCTATATTCTAACAGAATCATCTGCTGATAAACATGGAAAGAAAGTTATTGTGTGCCCACAAGTCAGTTCTGATTTATGATTATCCTGAGGCCACAACATGGGGTTTTCTTGGCAGAATTCATTGAGCTTAAAATGCCAGTGTGATTCTGGGCTGTATCAATAGAAGTATGGTATCTAGGGCTGCATCTACACTGCAAAATTAATGGACTTGGACACCACTTTGACTGTCATGGCTCAATACTATGTAATACTGGGGATTGTTTTTTGGGGGGATATATAGACTTCTCTGTAAGAGAGCTCTGGTGGAACAATAAACTACAAATCCCAGGAGTCTATGACAGTAAAATAGTGTCAAAGGAAAAGTGATTCCATTTAAACATGAGGAAGAACTTCCTGACCATAAGAGCTATTCAACAGTGGAACACATTCCCTCAGAATTTGTTGGAGTCTCCTCCTTTGGAGGTTGTTGTTGTTTTGCCTTTGCTGTTTCTGGATGAAGTTAGGCCAGCAAGTTGGTCACTAAAAATATGCAAGTCTTGGGTTGAGTCAAGTTAGTGCATCATTTATTGCCAAGTCAAGTCCAAATCAAGTCATTGAAGTGACCTGAGTCCTACTTGAGTCTGAGTCAATTGACTCAAATCTCCATCACTGTTTCCAACTTATGGCAATCCTAATGGGAACCTATCCCAGGGCTTTCTTTGATTTACTCAGAATGGGGTTGTTTTTGCCTTCCTCTAAGGCTGAGAAAGTATGACTTGTCCAGTGGGTTTCCATGGCCAAGCAGGGATTTGAACACTGTTCTTCAGAGTTTTAGTCCAACATTCAAACCACTGCACCATGCCTCCTGTCACATTTGCTGGCCCTTGGATCTTTTCTTCAGATAGACTGTTGGCCATTAACTGGCTGCACAGAAGGGTCTTGTAAAGGGATTGATGTTCTCCATTTCTGCCTCTTGTCAAATACTCATACACAGTCTTAAATGTTTTACAACTGCTTTTATTCAGTGTTTGGGCTTAATGTAATTGTTTATTAACAAGATCATACCTGTTCTCTAACTTTATAACTGATTGGCTTTAGTTGAATCGTATTTTAACTTGTGCATAAGCTGTTTTGGGTTCTGTAATTGGACTTTTACTTTCCCTGCAAACTGTAGCTGGTTCCTATCTACTCATACATACAAAACACAGGAGGCCGTGAATGTGGAAAAGAACAATAATAATAAAAGTGAGTAAAATTAATTGCAATTCTACCTTGTAGCATACAGTGAACAAGCACTTATTATTGATGCTGAGTGCTGCCAGAAGAGAGTTATCCAAAATTTCATTTTTCTAACTCTTTATTTTAAAAAGCAACAATTGCATTTGGGAAGGGTTCTAGAAAACACTAACTGTAAGAATGACCCAGTATGGTGTAGTCGTTTGAATGCTTGACTACAACTCTGGGAACCAGGGTTCAATTCCCAGCTCAGCCATGGAAACCCACTGGATGACCATGGGCAAGTCACATGCTCTTAGCCTCAAAGGAAGGCAGTGGCAAACCTCATCTGAAGAAATCTGGCCCAGAAAACCCCAGGGTTGCCATAAGTCAGAAATGTCTTGAAGGCATACAAAGCAAGTGGGGGAATCATAGAATCACAGGGGAGCATTAAGTCCAATTCTCAGCAATGCAGGAATAAAAATATAATATATAAAAGGGCAAGATATAAATTAAAAACACAGGCACAAACAATCTAATGCAGGGGGAAAGCTACATGTGGCCCTCAGAACATCCCCCAGGGCACCCCCCTTCACCCCATGCCCCCTCTTTGACTTTCTGTTTTGTGTATACCGCTTCATATCACGCTATGGGATGTCTAAGCAGTTTACAATTGTAAACTCATTTCCCCCCAGCAGTTGGATACTCATTTTAGCGACCTCGGAAGGATGCAGGCCTGAGTCTAGCCTGAGCCCTGTCTAGTATTGAACTCGCAACCTTGTGGTCTATGAGTGAGTGGCTACAGTACAGGCATTTAACCACTGCGCCACCAGGGCTCTTGTACCAGTTATGTTGTACTCATCTCCACGAGAGGTGTCACAATTTTATTTTTTGTCCCTGAGTATCCCTAGGGGATCCGCCCCAAGGACTCTTTTAGAATGAAGAGGACATTCCCTTTGACAAATGTGGCCATGCAAAATCAAGAGTGTGATCAAGATGACAAAAGTTATGAATGATGAAGCTACGAAAGGCTGCAAAAGTCTGCTTCTGCCTGAGTCTACTGGGAAGGGCAAGTTTCCAGCCCTTCGTCTCTTCTCCTGCCTGCTGAGTTAGTGGACTGCAAACTATTTTTACACTTTGAACTCAGTTTGCAGTAACTGAAGTAAGCTGAGGGGGAAAGTGGGAGGAGATGAGAGAAACTGGGACATTTGAAAAGCAGCTGAAACAGTGGGATGACAGAGAATTTGTGCCTACCAAATTAGGACAGCTGGAGAGTATGCAGGAATTGACCCAGAAGTTAACTTCTAGTTTATTGTCTGTTGAGGGGAAAAGGCCTCTACTGAGCCTTGGGGGGGATGTTGAAATTTGGGGTGGGGTTGTACATCTCTCTAAAGTCCTACATGGGGCCAATGCAGGCTGCTAATCTCCAATACTGCCCACTTCCAATTTAATGCAAGTCTGCTCAGAGGTATGCTACATTGAAATCAGGGGGTTAACTCCCAGGAAGAGAGCCAGCATGGTGTAGTAGTTTGAGCATTGGATTATGACTCTGGAAAGCAGGGTTCAAATCCCTGCTTGGCCATGGAAACCCACTAGGTGACCTTGGGCAAGTCATAGTCTTTCAGCCTCAGAGGACTGCAATAGCAAACACCCTCTGAAGAAACTTGCCAAAATAATCCCGTGGGTTGCCATAAGTCAGAATCATTTAACAGCAACAACTTCCAGGACGTTGAGTATGCATTGCTGACTTGGAATGGGAGTGATGATTCTTTTTAGCAAATAAAATATTGGCTCAATGGGCCTTGCCTATGTAATTCTGTGCTATACCTCATTGTTTTGTGTTGAATCTAGCAGTATGAAATTTAAACCTGCTTTCCCTTCAGATTGTTGCATTGCACTGCCCATCAACCTCTTTAGGATGGCATTTGATAAAGATAATGTGAACTCCTCCTCCCCATTTTGGGAGAAAGGCAGGAATATATAATAAAATAAAATAAATTGTGGTTCACCTCATCTGAGGAGGGCTGGATTAGAGAACCCGAGGTTAGAGAAACGTGATTCATATATTATCTCACATACCTCTAAAACTCTTTGAAACTATCAGAAGTGGAAATTTTATTATAGGCTGTATCTTGACTCTTGCATCATCAGAAATGGTCAGCAGCAGATCTAGTAAAAGTGGATACTGATGCTGCTTTTGAATAATAAAGATGGTCTTCATTCCTCCTGAAGGGGACGGGTCAGAAGATGACAACAACACTAGTTCAAAGCTAGATAAGGCTGTGAGATACCCATTGTAGTAGGTGCCTTATAAATACCTCACACAGATAGGTAGGTAGATAAGTTCCTATATTGTAAGCAGTATGCAGCCTCTTTCCTCCTCCCTTTCAGGCTCTCTGGCTCCAGGGGCATAAGCCATGCTCTTTTCTATCTTCTTGGTGCATTGTCATATCTCTTACCTGAACAATCACAAGGTATCTAGTGTGCAAATGCTACACCTGCAGTTTAAACAGTGAAACTATGAGACTATGAGACAAATGGGCCATTAGCTAATTTTTAAGCAATTAATGATGGCCAATATATCATCTTTGTTGTCTCATTTTGCTTCTCTGCCACTCCACTCCTTGGGAAGTGTGGGAAAAAAAGATCCCATAGAAAAAAGGGGAATTTCCACCCAGCCAGTGGCACTATCAGACTCCACAGAACTAATGGGTTAGGAGAATTACCTTGAACTTTGCAGATACACCAAATTAGAAATTTAGCACAGTAGAATGAGCTAGTATGCCATATCTTCTACAAATAGAGTACCAGAACCAAGTTCACAAGTCCTCTCACATAGCTTGGTTTACTTTCAAGAGTGATTCCCTAAATCAAATTGGGGTGTGGGGGAGATTTTTAATTATTGCTATTTTTAATCATGTTGGAGTGAAAAAGAAATCCTTGCCAGTGTACAGTAATCACCAGACAGCTTTCAGTAGATCTGCCATTTACTCTGCTCACCCTGACCTGTATCTTATATGTAGCGAGATAACAGACTGAATGGATAAACACGTGGACTGCACTGTTTAAGATGGCAGATGGTGGCAAAGGTGGATTGACTTGGTCATCTGCATTGAGCTTTCCATTGTTACCCAAAATGCAAGGGTCTTGAGAGGGCACCCACAATTGTATTCAATGAAGGAATAAATTAACTCAGTAGGAAGCAGCAAGAGGGCTTCGGGTAATGTTTTAAAGCCAAGGTCTAGCCTATGTATTTTTAATCCAAATCAAAAGACTCCAGCTTGTATATTCCAAATTAATTTAGTTTTATTTATGGCAGCAAGGGAAATCAGCTTTCACACAAAACACACACTCACACACACATACAAGAACTAATGCTGTGAAGATGGTAACTGATAGCAATTTGCAGGGTTTAGCAGAAGGCTGCTGGGTTGAGGCATGGAGCTATGATTGAAGGAAGCAGTGAATGAGTCTGGCTTAGAACACAGCCTAGGACCTGGGTTGACCTGTGTGTGCCAAGGAATCGAGGGAGAAACAGATGGGGTGGCTGTCTGAACTCAACCAAGACTGAATTGAGACTGACCTAAACTGACATATTTGTAGGACGAAATGTGTCCTGGTGCAGTTTCTAAGGAGTCTTAGTGGATTTTTCCAGGAGGAAGAATGGCTAGAGGTGTGTGGAGAGGGCAGGACAATGGATTCAAATGTCTCACACAAAGGTGTCATCGCCAAAGGGGAGTGGCCTTTGATTCCCAACCTTTTGGCAAGTACCCAGTGTATTGCCAACCATCACACTCCTAAGTGAAGGGATTGTGCAGATTCCAGTCTCAATGGACCTATCCTGTCTCCATGCACTGGTGCTTCCAAACTGAGCCTATTGAACCTCCTTATTTGGGCAGACTATTTCCTCACATTGGGTGCCTTCACTGGCTATGTGAACAAACCATTCCTTTTAATATTAAGTTGATGAAAGGTTGACTAGGAATGAAGGTGGGCTGGTCCGTGGAGTAACATCATCCAAACATTTAAAGTCATGTGCCTCTTAGGGACCTAGGGACACAGCAAACACAGAAGGACTGGATTGATCAAAAAGTTGCAAACAACCTATCTGACATTTCTAGTTTCTAATAATTGGTGCAACAGGGCAACAGCTCTCATACTCTTCTAGAACATGGCCACACAGCCTGAAAAAACCACAAAAAACTATCATACTTCAGCTATGCATTCTACACAAGTTGGACAAAACCATTTTCACAATTGCAAAGACTCTCTTGAGGCTGACAGCAGATATCTCACTCTTCATGCAGGCAGGGAGAATCTTTTTTTGCAGCTTCTTTTTTTTTCACCTGTAAGACAAGCACATATTTACTTTTTTGAGCCAGTGCCACCACTATAATGTCAGCCTATTCACAGTATAGAGGAGGAAGGGAAGGAAAATTTCTCCTGTCTTTGAGGGAACCCTTCACCATTTGTTAGTGAGTTCTTTCTCCATGGGGCATAGGAACATAGAAGTGACTGATAGAAAGCCTAGGCTTCAGCAAACAGAATCAGGCACCTGGGTACCTATTGATGGTGGCCTTGAGGTTATCTGTGTGTTTTTTTCTTATTTAAGGAGAACTGTATGTATCATAAAGATTTCATGTACCTTGGA